TCAGCATATGTTTCTGGTTATGAATTATCATTTGAACTGTGTGCCATAAACTTTTTTAACAAATACAGGTAGTGCACAGAATAACATTATATGATTTCCACATTAAATATAACTTCAGCAAAACATGATAAACTGCTAAAATCAGCATACTTGTTTCAGGCTCCTCTTTAAGTACTAGTTCCTTTAAAATGTGTTTTTAAACTTTTTAAATACTTCCTAATGGACATTTTAATAAGGAAAATAAGAAAGTTATAAAGGAGAAACCTGAACACTGAAGCAAAGTAGAATAAATGTGAACAGAACATACTTTTGAAAAGAATTTTATTTTTGGCCTCTTGGAGGTAAAAACAAAGATAGGAAGAGGACCTATAAATTATGAGAGACCTATATGATTTTGACATACCAACCAAACACTGTGTATGAATCTTGAATTCTCATTTGTAAAACCAAATGTAAAAAGAATTTATAAAAGCAATGGGGGACATGTGAACACTTACTAACTGATTGGACATTTAATATTAATACCATTTGATAATGGTTTTGGGATTATATTGATAAAAAGGGGAAGCTTTTACCTTTTTAAGAATAACCCCGAGTGGAAATTATTTATTCATTCATTCATTTATTTATTTTTTGGTGGTAAAAGGGATTGAAACCAGGTCTTTTGTACTGAGTGACATCCCCAGCCTTTTTGTTTTATGTCTACACCGGGTTTCACTAAAGTCACTAAATTACCCAGCCTGGACTCAAACTTTTGATCCTCCATCCTTAAGCTATCAGAGTGCTGGAATTAGAAGTATATGCCACCATGCCAGGCAGTTATGGAAAAAGTGGTAAATTTCATCTGCTTAAACCAATCCAATGGTGGAACAGGAATAACAAATAGAATATGTCTTGCTGAAGGTTAAAGCCAGGTGATGAGTACACAAGATCCATTAAATTCTTTACTTGTATATACATTTAAAATTCTACTAGAAAGTTCTTAGAATCCTAATGATAGTGATGTAAATAAACTAATGAGCTGGCAGTGAAATAATTTCTCTCCATCATATAATTCCTTATTTAAAATTACTCAGCAGGGCTGCTCCTGCCTCACAAGTGCAAGGTCCTGAGTTTGATCGCCTATACCAAAAAATAAACAAAATAAATCAGGAAATGAAATATTTATCTAAGTTTGTAAGGTGAAAAATAAGAGACTACAGGCAAGCAAAAGTCATCAATACACCTGGTAAGTAATTCCATCTTTTGAGAAGAGAAAGCTGATAAAAGACTGAACAGTTTTAACCTAATAGAAAAATGCATTGTAAATGGAAGCATTTTTCTTTACCAAGGGTTTATTTTACAAGCATATTATGACATATTATATAGAGGTAGGCTCAAATGCCCAATATTGTCTTAAACATTTCTTGAATAAATAATTACTTTGTTAATATAAAGAAATTCATCTTTAGTATTATTTGAGTTTCTTCTGTGCCTAAGGGAAAATGGTTCCAACAGCTCTGGTAAACAATACAACTGACATTAAACCTTTTAAATAAATGGTAAAACAAAATAAAAAAGAATAAGAAAAAGCAAACTATTAAGATACTAGAAAAAAGTTATCATGTGGTAGAGAAGAATTTGGGTAACAGTTACTACAGCCCTTGTTGCTACTATGAAAAGACAAAACTCTAGGCCTCAGCTTTCTAAGATGCTATATCCCTTCCTCCACTTCTATTTCCAGACCCTAAGGTATCCACATATTTTCTTCCTTCTTTAAATAAAGAATCCTTGATTTTTAGCAGATTACATGTTTGACCAGAATGGACCATATTTGCTACTAGGCATGATCATGTGATTAAAGTTGTAGTGAAAATATTATAAACATCTAGATAAATCTCCTTAAAAGACAAGGTGCATGGGGCTGGGGATTTAGCTCTCTGGGGTCACCACCTGCCTTGCAAGCACAAAGTCCTGAGTTCAGTCCTGGTTACAAAGAAAAAAAAAAGACAACAGACAATGTGCACACCTTTTGTGTCTTTTCTCTACACTGTAGATATTCTGCGAAAGAAACTGCTTACCATTTTAAATATGAGGTATTATCTTGTTTAAGCAACATTTTGGAGTTTTCCTATAAATTCAAAATAAATCCTCAATGGTTCAAAACTACTCATACTACCTTGTGATGATAGTTATTCAACAGTAAATAAGTGGCTGAAAAATATAATGTTGGAAGCAAATGAATACTAGAAGGAAGGAAAGAGAAAACACATATAATGTTCCTACCAATTTCCTCCTAAGAATGCCAGAAAGAAGGTTTAATATTTTGGGATTTTTTTTTCTCCTAATGAGGTAGTTAGCATATCGAGTACAGATACAATTCATAAATTCATTCTTCCTTTTTTTGGTACTGGGGATTGAACTTGCACTTGTGCGGCAGGTGCTGGAACCACTGAGCTAAATCCCTGGCCCCTCCCTCATTCCTTCATTCAGCCAATAAATATTAAGCATCTACTCTGTGCCACGAACTAAGGTTCCTAAATAAGACAGAAAAAGATTCCTACTTTAACAAAGCTTACATTCAAGCTAAAAGGTGAAAGAGACTAGATATTCAATGGAGGAAAAAATACATAAATAACTTAGCTATTCCACTTTAGATTCCTTATGAATGTTAAGAATGTAAATCAATTGTAAGTAAGTGTTTCTATTAAAATGAAGACTCTTAAAACTAGAAAACCTCAGTATCTGCTGTGCAATTGTATCAACTTGTTTCTATGAGTCGCTATTAGTGAAAAGTGTTTTATTCATGTTTAATCCCTAGCAGAAAAAATTTTGATACTCTGTGTTTTCAACAACTTTAAATTCATTTTTATTCACTAAAGTTAAACAGAGAAATTACTATGAAAACCAAAGCGGGTTTTGATGAGAAATGAATAAAGAAACTTATAAGCTAATTGAAACCATAAGCATAGAGATAATCTAGTCAAATCAAGATATGATTGATGAGTCAACAAGAGAACTGAAAATTTTAGTATCTAAACAAAACATAGGAAAAGGCTAGAGCAATTTCTAAATATGCTCAAAATCAATAAAAAAGTTTATACTTCAGATCCACTCATAAAAAATAATGTTGGGGAGTGAGTGATTGCCGATGTAGAAGTTAATATACATGAGCACAAGAAAATGAATACTTGCTAAATGACTGAGGTATACAAGGCACCAAGGCTGCATTTCAAATCTGGAGGAGACAACCATACAATGGAAGAATAAACTGGAAGGGTACAGAACAAGATCCAAGAGCAGAAGAGCAAATTAACTAAGAGCACATCAAGTCACCTACCAGCGATACTTTTCATATGTTCTCATGTATATTGACACATGGCTATGAAAACAGCCTTAATATTTTCCTTAATCTCTACATATTAAAGAAGTCACTAAATACTTAACATTCCATGAAAGATGTGATTTAAGCACTTCAAATATGAATCCCTTGAAAATGTTTCATAAGGTGATTTGTGCTGATACAGGGCCATAATGAATTGTAAGGCATTGCAATGTAAAATAACTGTAGCGAAATATACATATGTACACCACAATCAGCACATATGCCAAAATTATGGCATAATTTAGGAAAATACACCTATTTTAATGTAAGTTAAAACTATGGTGCTTTTAACATGTGTAATACATTAAGAATGTTAACTTTATAGGGTTAAAAAATAATCTGTGATGGATCATCCTAAAAACACACACAAACACACCAAGGGATTCAACAGTTATTAAATATATCAAGATTTAATTGTGGAAATATGCCCTTAACTCTCAAGTAGTGACTAAATCAATAACCTTTATAATATGTTGATTATTGAGTATTTGACAAAACTGAGTTGAATTTATAAGCCCAGTTTTCAAATTAACAGTACAGATAGCACAAAACCTGGCGAGAGTAGCTAATGACATCATTAAGTTTTAATAGAGATAAAAATCAAAGAGTATTTCTTTCTATAAATGAACTTTAAAGGACAGACTACTTAATTAATAGAAAATAAAGCATAAATGGCACAGCTTCATAGTCTAGGGTCCCATATCTATTTCAGGGAACCTGAGGTCACCTTGAGGTTTTTTTTTTTTTTTTTTTTTTTTTTTTGGTACCAGGGATCAAACTCAGGCCCTTGCACTTGTGAGGCAGGCGCCCGAGAACACCTTGAATCTTTACACAGAAATCCTAGTGTTGACTTTCATCAGATTCTTAAATGCATTTAAAATCTAAAAATGGAGTGCACTTAGAAGTGATGATTTCACTGTCAACAACAATTTCACAAGACCTCAAGATATTCAACAATAAAAAAGTAATGCTAATTTCATTTCCATGGAGTAAATTTTCTTCTCCCAAAGTGGTTTCCAAAAAGACAAACAGCAAAAACAACAAAAACAAAGGTGATGCCAAAACCCATCAAGCCAAGAGATCCTTTTAGAAATCTATATAGGATTTTCTACTGTAGTCAAGACCAGAACAAAGACACGATAAAATTTCATTGTTAAAAAGTGAATGACATACATTTTCCTGGATATCCCTTTATAAATCTTTTCAAAGGTCATTCAAAGACATAACAAATTAAGCAGAACACCTCAGATCTTCCCTTTCAGAATCTTAAAGGTGAAATCCAAATGCCACTCCCCCCACAGAAAGGCAGGGAACGGGTTTTTCCTAATTCCAAGTGGGTAAAGCTAAGGTACGCAGAGTTCAGAGATGAAAGGTTCTCCGTCTGCAAAAATGAGGAGGGGGATGTCAGTCTCATCTGAAGGAGCTGAGGGAGAAGTGGGCTGTACATGATAGGCTTTTAATCTTGAGAAATGTGGTCCTGCCAGTTTGGGGTGGATAGGAAAAGGCAACTCAGGAGCAGAGGTGGTGGCGAAGGTAACACCTGAACGTCCTGGTAAGGAGCTACGTGGCACTAAGTAAACACGGCTTGGTCTCCCCTACTCCGGCTTCCGCCCCAACCACTTTCCCCTTTGGTTACCAGTTGCTCCAGATGCCATAGAGTAGTTCCACAAAAGCAAAAGAGAGATTCAGGCACAGGAAGAAAAACAGGTTCCGAGACGTCTCGTCCGACAGGATAGACCTGTAGATGACACAAATGTGGAAGAGGTGTAGAGTAAAAGGCGTGCGGGGAGCTCGAAGCTGAGTGTCCCTTTCAAGACCCTCCCTATCCACACGCTCCTTTCCCCACAGCAGTGAGCTGAGGGTGCGTCAGGGGCGCTTGCCATCCTTAGCCTGGGCTTTCTCTCCTGCCCGACACCCCGCTCCCAGCAAACAGCACCCCGCACCTAAACCAGCCCGAGATCTTGCCAAACAGATTGAACTTGGGTGGTTTGTATTCATCATCCTTGATGGACAGAGGCAACATCTTCTCCGCCCGGCAAAGGGCCGGGCCTACTCCTCTCTAGAAGTGGCTCCGTAGGTTGACGGTAGTGACGGTAGTGACGCCTCAGACGGAAGCCCCCAGAGGTTGACTGCGGCCGTAAGCAGCTGGGAGAC